TTCAAGAAACTAATTTATTTTTAAATTTTCTCAGGCTTTGAGGATTGTCACAGGCACTATGTAATAGTTCGATCCGCGAATGAATTTTTCTCAATGTTTCTGGATTGCAGGTTCGTATACGCTTGGCGCCCATTAATTACATTTCTACGTGTGCGGCCTCGATCTACCAGTAATATTATTAGCGACCACTGATTTATAGCGCTTGTTTAGACAATTATAATTTCATTCATCATTACATCAATATAATTGTCATAACATATATATCCTAACATTGTATGGCATCACATATTATATATAATGCACAATACGTATTATGTCATTAAGAGCATTACAATTTTCACTAAAGTTTTAAATTTGTTCTGATATTCGATCGAATACAAAAAGGTATCTAAAGTTTTATTTAGATTGGTAGATTGTCTGTGATGACTGAATTTAGGGCTTGTGGTTTATCGTTAAATAGGTGTACAAATATCACAAAGTGAAGGGGATGTTTATAAATTTATTGGTGAACTTACGTTTACATCAGTTCCTTCCACCTCTGATTATTCCTTTTTACTTTCTTTCATGATTGTCTATTCAAAATAATGTTTATATATTGTAACGGTACAAGCTCGCGCGTTGAAAAATTTCCATGAAAAAAAAAAGAAGGGAAAAAAAGCGGGCGCCCGCGACGCAGCTGCGAAAGGGGGTCGTAGGTACCCGCGCCCGTTCGGCTATTGAGGCGAGGGGTTGTATGAGATTTTATGGCAGGACACCCCCGCGCGGTGCCGAAGGAGGGTTTGTCGGCAGCCGGGTCCTCGCCAAATGTCAAGTGGGTGTCTCCTATTCACCCACGCGACCGCTCGTAAAATGAACCCCAACGCGCCCTCTCGGGAGACAAATTTACGACCCAACGGTCAGCGGCGCTCGTGCGAATCCAAAGTAAACAGGCCCGAAGTTTTCTTTTATAATAGCAACGGACATTCTGGCCGTTCAGGTGTGATTGTTTAGACACACACCTCCACCCTGCTCCACGAAATTCAACCCCGCGTATCGGGAGGATACACCGGCTGAGAGAAAGGTACCGAGGTTTGTTGTTACCAGTCGCCGCTCTGTAGTCATTCGATTTATAGTTCGGCCACGAGCACTCGAATATCGACTTGTTTCTTGACTCGCCACGCAGTGGTCGTTGGATTTTAGCTCAGCCATGAGCAACCATTCGATTCGCGTGACACGGTACGAGTAGTCACTTGATTTTTTTAACTTGCTCCGAGTATTCACTTTGAGTTCATATGCATTGACTAAAACTAAATTTATACTTCACTTCGCAATCTCATTGACCTCACGTAGCATTCGAAGCCGCTTGCGGAGGGAAGTTGACCCTCGCGCACTCTTTGTCAGAAACAGTGCGAAAAGGGATGCAGTCTCGCGCCTAAGTCAATCACCGGTTACTGATAGTCCGCGCTGTGATACGAAGTTTGATTGGCTTCAATCAATCATCGGCCGACGAGCACCGTTGCTGCCTGAGGTGGTGACGCTGGTTGAAGTTGGGACCCTAGAAAGCGCGCGACTCAGAACGCCACGCTGGGAGCCCTGTGTTCACCGCCTCTGCCTGGAAGGGGGCGCGCGCTCCGAGGACGCAGGCACTCGACCACCGGGCGTGCTGTATGCCCGCCGACAGAAAACGAGGGAATAATCCGCTTAGCTCTGCATTAAATGCGGTCGAACACATGCGGAGCGGGGGGGAGGGTGCCTTCAGCACAAGTATTTATGACGACCCATTGTTTTTTGTAATTAATTTAATAGATGGCTAATTTTCATAAAAAGAAAGGATCGTTTTTATTATTGAATTAATGTAAATCATCACCATCATCATCATTTTAGTGAGTAAATGTTTATTATGCAAATGTTATGTCGGTTATTATTGAAATTCCCGTTCCAGCCACAACGACTCGTTGGGTTACAATATATATATATATATAATTATACTATATATATATATATATATATATAATATATATTGAAATGAAGACGTTTTCTGTATTAGAACAATTAAAAATTGCATCACTAATTATAATTAAAATAATGTACTGGAGTGTGTCAGCGCAGTAACGCCGCCGCCGCCCCCAACGGTCAAATCGGGGGGTAAACGCGAGGCGAGCCGACGTTAGGAGTGCGCGCGGAGAGGCCTCGAGTGACTACTTATATATTTTTTTCATTTATACATTTTTAATACATTTCCATTTCTTAGTTCTACGTAACTTTTATTCACTTTTTTTATTCACTATCTTCAAAATTTGACATTTATTTTTTCAGACGGATCATGTCAATTAGACCTATCTAACATATGTTAAGTGTAATTGACACATCGAATCGGTGTGTTGGACAATAAAAATTTCTTTTGAAGAAAAAGACATTAATTGTTAAAAAAGAAAAGGATACTTGTGTTTAATTGATTTATTAAGAAACATTTCATAAAGATAGTTCACAAGATAAGTCACTATATGGAGTAGAACAATAAAATCGGGTCTACTCAGCATGAAACCATTTTCCTGCAAATGATATTTTTGAGATGCCACTTCTCTTAAACATCGACGAAATATATGTTACAGAATACCAGGCGATTGTATGGGAACATACTACATAAAATCTATTGCTGCGAGATCTCTAGAAAATCTAGCAATTTCATAAAAATCTTCTTGGGTGATTTCTATATTCCTAGGAAGGTTCACGAACTCACTACACTTGAAGCAGTAAATTACTCATCACAATGAAGTCTCAATTTATGATAAAACATGATCCCGTTGGAAAATAACGCAGTGTGAAAAGTCGGTTCATTGGTAATACCTCAGAATTGATAACAAAACACAAAGTATACATCTTATTATTTTGACACAAAATGAATTTAACAGGACTTTGACAGTTTTTTTAATGACTTTACTAGGACATTGCAGAAATATAAGTTGGTATTCACAAATCTTTTATTTTCTGTTCTATCAAAGACATAGCTTTACTAACTTACGCTTCCTTATCCTGAAACGGGATTTGAATTCTTCGTCGAGGATCTCAAAGTATTCTGGCCGACGTGTCTGAGCGAACGTTCTAAACCATCAAAGAATACGTCGTCTATCATAAAGGAATATCATAGTTATTCCTTGAAAATCACAGCAAGTTCAAACACAAATTCCATTATTTTGAAGTTATCTACCGGATAAACATTTAACAGCCTCTCCAACTTCCAGATTATTTACCGGATATAATTATCAGGTACTCGTAAAAAAACAAAATTTCAACATATCGATAAGATAACTTCTGGGTAGACTATGGGACACCGGTGAAACTGGTCCTAAGGGTAGCTTATACGCTGCTGGTACTGAAAATTCTATTAAATCATTGTGTCTTTAGTAAGCAAGTCGAATTTTAATTGTATCGCACCTGAAGAAGTGTGTACAGTAAGTCCCGAAACGTCGTTGAAGACTGTGATTTTGGTATTTATATAAATTATAACTTAAACTGTATAAAATTTAAAAACTGGACTTGTTTTTTGGAAAAAAATTATAAAATCTTGTTGATGTAATTTTTAAAATTTGATACTATGCACCCCAAACTATGCGAACATTACTCAAATCTTCCATAAACATTTTTTAAGACTAGGTCTGAGCCGCGGTTTCTTCGAGCCAAGGCTCGAAACCCCAAGTTTCGCTTGATAAGACGAAGCTTTGGCGAAGTTTCGAGGCCGCGGCTTGAAAATTCCAGACGTCGGCGAAGGGTGGTTTAAAGCTATAGCTCATTCACCCAATATTTCAAAATGAGGTACTTTAGAATTTCGAGCCAATGTTCAGCGGTTCAGAACACTGAACCGGAGAACTAGAGCGTTGCGGGATCGCAGCAATCCCTTAGAAGAATGCAACAATCGAGATTTCGCTTTTCGAAAGAAACTTAATTTATTTGGCTGAAATGTTACGACCTAACCTCAATCCTATGTATGGAAGAGGATCGGGTTTACCCGTGATAATTCAACTTTTGGTGGTTCTAAGGTTAATAAAACGAATATCCTTTGCTTGTAAATCTTCACTAGAGGAAGATTACATTTTGATAAATTATTATGTAGTGAAGTGTATTAATTTTCAAATCCACATCTGAATTGAAAATGAAGTTATCTTTAAAAGAGAAATAAACGCGTGTTAAAAAAAGTTTTCTTTGTTCAAGATTTTACGCCGCAGGAGCCTTCCACATCGTAGTGGGTGACTTGAAGGGAATTCATGAGAGTATGGTGTGCTGCTTAGTGAAACTTGTGTCTGATTGTGAGATATGCTCTTGGGAGCAAAAATACCTCTATTTTCCAAATAGGCAAAAACACTCAATTAAACATTTTGCTGAGCTATCCAGAGACAATTTTCCAGGTGTATTGGGTGCCATTGACTGTACTCACATTAGAATTGTGTGCGCTTGCAAAGAGAACGCAGAAATCTACAATAGGAAAAGCTTTTATTTGATTAATTGTCAGGTTATTAGTGATCCTGATATGAAAATAACAAAAATTGTGGCAAGGTGGCCAGGGCTCACATACGACAGTAGAATTTTAAGAAATTGCCATATAAGATGCTATGGAGTGTGGAATGTATTCTGGCCACCTAATTGACGATAGCAGATACCCATATGCACATTACCAATTAACTCCTGTGCTCAATGAGATAAACAATGCCCAGAGACGTTACAATGCAGCTCATAAACGAGCTAGGAATGTTGTTGAAAGATTATTTGGCTGTTGGAAAAAATGTTTTACATGTCTACACTATACTCTAAGGACAAAATTAGATAAAAGTCTGAAAATAATAGCAGCTACAGCAATTCTACACAATATTGCAATTGAACAAAAAAGAAAAAAAATTAATGATGAAATTGCAGAGGAGGAAGCTGAAGCTGTGCCAGATCAAGCAGACAATGTTTTGGGACTTACATGGAGGGCTCACTTCATTCAAACCCATTTTTCATAAATATTTATAAATAAAAACAAAATAGAGAAATTAATGTTTTTTATTTCTTTTAATATTATAACGGTTTTGTTTTTTAAATTCTAGAAAGGCTATTTTTTTCTGTATTTTCAGTGTTTGTAATTTTACTGCATGCTGTTCCATTTTGGCCATGTGCTCCAGTTTTGCCATTTTTAATAGATCATCTTCATAATTTTTTTTCCTGGAGAAAAAGAAACATTAACCTTTTTTATCAATGATTTGAAATCTAAATTTAAAGCTCATTTCATTAATTCACAAATAGCAGTCTTTGCAGATGATACATCTTTATTTACTTCTTATTCTAACATTATAAGGGGTCATTATAATTTAAAGGACGATTTCAATATTGTTGCTTGGTATATTTGGAAAATAAATAACAATAAAAAATCACAATCAAAAATATTTTCTTTAAAGATTTAGAGGTTATACAAAATAAACATTTCCTAAAAATGTTAAATACACCTTGGTTCATTATAAATGATCAAATATGCATGAACTTGATCATGTTACTCACAACATCTCTTAAATCCTCCATAGTTATATGCTCACTCTACATTTTTTATTTATAGTGTAAATTTTCATGTGTTATTTTTCATTCATAACTTTTGTAGTTTTAAAGATCATTATGAAATATTTAAAAAAATTAAACAAACAAACCTACAAATCATTGCTTATAAATTAAACAAAATGCATCAACTATTTTTTGGAAATGTAAGGAAATAATTATTCAGGACAGTATTATTTCAAATATGTCGGCAATAAATTATCCTCTTACTTTTTTACTTCTGATGCCTTTTTCTGGGTTACAGGCATAGAAAATGTGGCAGAAGAACTGGAAACATCATTTTTTTCCATGACATCTTTCTCCTGACTGCCATTTATATTCCCACCATTATTTTCAATAATGGTGGGAATATGTAGTACTCCAGGAACTTTCTACAAATGAAATAAAGCAATTAAAAACTACCACTTTTTCAAAATATACTATAAGTCACATACATATTATCTAACAGTGCTATAACAAATGGCAAAGAGAAATAATACCTGGAATACAAAGGCATCATCATCATACACCACTTCTAATGGTTCAAATGATGCTCCTAGTATTCCTGCCACAATTTCTTCAGCTGCATCCATACATTTTGTTTGTGATGGACCTCCCCCAGTGCCTCTGGCCTCATTCTTTGAAGCATCAAGGGCTTTTTTTGCCCCATCTTTCAAACGCTTCCAGAGGCCTAAACAAAAACAAATGTTCACATAAAATACAACTTTATAAAAGTAAAATATATCAAACTGCAAATAATTATTAGCAATATCCAAGTGAAAACTGCAGAACAAATAATTTTAACATGTCCACCATCCACCTGTATCAGTTCAAATCTTATGGAAAAAGCAATTGCATCAATACCTCAGAAGGAAAGTTCAAGAGAGCCCTCAAGGTAAATTAGTTTGAGGTAGATGAGGTTTAGATACATCTAAAATTGCACTAATTTTAACAATTATACAAACATTTGCAGTTTATCTTTTAAAAATTTTAATTAAACCCAATCCACCAGACCAATCACGTCACATAAATAGATAAACTTTTCATTGTTACAAAATAACATGTAAGTAATAACAATGCAAGTAATGACATTGCTTTAATGAACATTATATATAGCAATATTCATTTTTAAAGCGTTTTCTCTCAGAATCAAGTTTTTAACTAGTACTGATATTTGAAAGTAGATATTTCCCTTTCTAAGAAAACTAGAGCAACTACAATATACTCTTATGCATACCCCATTTGGAATGGTGCACCAAAATATCATTCACGAACTAGAGATTATATAAAATAATTATATATTTTCTTAAAATGGAATTTGGTCACAAAAGCTTATTCTGAAGTTGTCCACAATCACAAAATGATACAAAACGATTATACATTTCCTAAAAATGGAATTTGGTCACAAAAGCTTACTCCGAAGTTGTCCACAATCACGCGCAGGTTTGCCTGGATTTGACGCGTTAAATTCTTCGCATATTTTAATCCAGGTTTGTTTCTTCTCGCTAATCACATCACCTGTGTACGATTTCTTCGTCAAAACTGGGTATTTTTGGCAAATTTCTGCCAGAATCACCCTTTTGTGTTTTTCATAGCGAGCCATCTGTAATTATAAAGAACGAATCTTTGGCATAGCTTTGTAATTAGTTTATAAAAGCGTATTTCAAGTCCTTCGTTACATTATCATGCAAAGTAAGAATTGAAATACATTACATACCTTCGATATCAGCAGTACATCCACTACTTTGGCGCGAACTTTGTAGTGGTTTCTGCTGCAAGACCCAGAGTGTATATAGAACACTCGACGACCGCTGTTCGCACTCGCCAAACCGATTTTTCGGACCCGCGGCTTGAGACCGCGGTCCCACCAGACTTCGTTGAATCATCGTTTTATCAATCTATTTCGCTGCCCAAGCCGTGGCCTCAAACCGTAGTTTTCAAACCGCGGCTCAGACGTCGTCTTAAAAATCCACCCTATGGGTGGATAAAATAATAAATTTTATTAAGGTATTTTATAAATCTTTATCTATATCTTCAATATTGAAATTGTAGAAAGACAACAACAAAAAAGTTATTTCGTTCTCATCTTTGAACGCACTAAGCCGTTCCACGTTGTTATATGATAAAATGTACCCATTTGAAAGCTTGGATAAATACTAATGAACTAAGGGGACTAAATATACCCTTGAACCGCCTTTTGTGTACAATATTGTCTTTCCAGAAATATTATAGAGATTAGTGTTGATATTTTCTTAATACGTATCATTTTTAGGAAGGTAAAAAAAGCATAGTGAGTTTTGTGACGATGTCTTTCTTCGATCTTTCATGCACAATACATAAATAAATATTATAAATAAATTCATAGTCGAGGATGTCTTTACAGGTCAGGGAGGTTACAGTTCAAATGCAGATGCGATTATACCAATATTTGAATGAAAAAAGGTTCATCTAAAAAAATATGACAAAACAATTTCACATACTTATCGCTGGTTTATTGTGTAATGTGGCTTAATGGTCAATAATAATTCAAAATGTAAAGAGGAATTGGAAAGATAACTTTCAACATGCAACATTTTATTTAAATTCATGTGGAATGTTCACAATGTCATATTAAAATTGTTTCCCCTATTTGTAGTAATATAATCACTATCGTTTTTTCGAAAATACTATATTTTTCTTAAAAGTTTATATTTTATTTATAAAATGTTAGTTCTATGAATTCAAATGTAAATAAATAGCGCGAAACACTTAGGTAATTTAGTTAGGAATGTTGGTAGTAAGTTCATAAAACTCGCTGCAGTGCTGTATTAGGCCTCATTTAGCGGTTGGTGTTTTTGGAGAGAAGATGGCGGAATTTAGTGCGCTGATTGAGACGGTAGCCGCCGTTGTGCCGGTTATGATCCTTGCAGAGATCAAAAATGTCGTTATTGTCTTCACATTTTGCTTTGGTAAGCATGTTTCTATAGATTTGTTTACTACGGGCCTCTGAAGCAATTTATGTTTGAATTTCTGTGATCAGCTACGTGAAAGTTGGTGGCCACGTGGTGCTTCGTTCAAATCGCATTTCTTTGGACGCGTGATAATTATTTCGTATATATATTAAGAATATTCTAGATCTCGTGGGTGTAAATTAACCAGCGGGATTGTGTTAAAAGCATAAACTTAAATGTAAGTTCTAAACTGTGTTGATATCTAGCATGAACCGTGCAACCTTCGTTTAAGAGTCCTGCTCTTACTATATTTTTTTTTTAGAATCTATTCGGGACGTTTTACCAAGTGCATTACGTAGTGTATAAGAACTGTAATGGACGTTGATTTGTGGAATTTCTCTTCTAAACTATTTACAAGCTAGTGTGGTTTATTGGCTTTCGACTCGAGAATGCACCTTAAGTATATCGAAATATGACTCGAGAAGTAGTTGTGATTTAAGGAATATTGTGCCTTTAAATTGTAATTAAAAATGCAGGTTTTGTATTATTGATGCCATTCCCTAAGCTATCTGGTACGGCTGGGGTTGCTGTCCGGAGCTGCGCGTGGCAGTCTATTCCATCAGCAGCATCAAAGAGAATCTCTGCCCCACAAGGTGTGCGGAGGCTGGGCATATTCCATAAACCTTTGGGAGCCCATTGGGCAGTGAACTTAGGACAAACCATGCCCTGCACAGCATAAGTGTGTAATTGCAGATTTGCCAATTACTCTTACATGAAGCTTTCATTTTCCCTTTTCTGTGAATGTGTGGATCCAAATGTAAGTGTGCAATTCTGAATATGGTAGTTAATTGCTGTAGACTTCCATGTGAGCTTCTTTGCCGAAGTTTTTGTGATTGATGTAGGGTTCATGAGGATGTCGTGTTGGATCTAGTTTAGTGTAGATAGATAAATGTTAGGTTTTAATCTTATCTTGGATATGTATTGAATTTCTGTTTCTACTTTGTTCACAGGTTTGCGGGGCTCATTTATGTGTAGAGTCACATAAAATTGGTAAGGTAAGTTAATTTAGTAATCTTAATACTGTAAACCCTTAGAAAATTAATGCTATAGGGGGTTTCTGGGAAGTTGGAGGGGAAGAGGGGAATTTGAAAGAGGATTGTTCCCTCGAACTTTTGAGAGGATCATGAAACTGAACATTGTATGTATAAACTGTGGTACAGGGTTAACTTTTGCATGATTTTTGTTATTTTTAAATGTGATTTGTCAGATCAAAATAGCTGACCATAGTTTCATAGCATTTCACCCCCACCCCCTGCTAGCACCAGTTATTTTACTGCACATAAAACAATTTAGACAAAGTGGAGGTGTTCCTGAGAAAATAAGTTTAAAATTCAATAGTTGCAAGATTTCATGCAAACTTCACCAATAGTTTTTGAAAAATTGTACTTAGTCTTTGAAGATTCTTTTGGGAATACATTCCATTGAGAAATAATTCATCTTCATAATTGTACTTTTAGGAAGGCTCAACAAATTTTGAATTTTGCCATTTTAAAATCAGGAATTTCAAGGAAAAGGAGAACTGTAACATCTGGTGCGAGCTGATAAACCTCCTGTGCTAAATTATTAAAAATCAAGGTGTATGTGAAGTAATTCCTGAAATTAAGTTTTAAATTCAAGAGCCCACAATAATTTAATAATTTCAAATATTTTATTTGAAAGAATTAATTTAATTGCTAAGAATTTAAATTGTGTATTTTACAGATACTAATTTATTTCATGTTTCCTTGTATATGATGATACATCAAAGAGCCAAAAGGATACTGATTGTTCTTGATGATATTTTATCCTGACATTGATATTGAGAATCCTTTTTGTGTGTAAATAATGAATCAATATTGAAATGTGATAATCTTTTCAGATGCAATGCCTGTTATGTTGGACTAGTCCTATGGAATGAGGTAAGTTGGTCTTACAGAAAGAATGCAAAAATGTAAAGTCATTGAAGTAAAAGTTTTAAATCATAATGACCATGAACAGTAAAGTTTAATCAGATAGACTTGTTGCTTTATTAATAAAGTAAGTCTGCTTTGTGAGTTTTTGGGATTCTAGCTAATAATGTAAATTGGGAACTAATTTCATGATAGCTCCTTGTATGTGATGATACATTCGATAGCCAAAGGATTCATAAATTTCTTATGAAATTTTTTCTGACATTTAATGCTAAGAATCTTGTTTGTGTGAATAATGAATTGTCAATATTGAAGTATATACCCTTTTTTACAGATGCTGTGCCTTGTGTGCTGGACTACAAAATTATGGAGTTAGTGATGTAAGTTTAGTGTATTTCGGAAATGTGTAAAAACATTACTTGTTTAACAATTTCCTTTTTGCATAGTTCCCAACGCTAATGATTTAAGCCTTAATTTGCAAGTGTCATTTTGGCTGAAGTATTGTACACAGTACAATTTAGGATGTTGTTTAAAGTTGCACTTTGTTCTGGTCTAGTGTTAACTTTGCAGCAGTATGAATTCTGGAGGCTTTCTTGAAAAGGGATTTCTCATAATAGTGAATTGATAATTATGCAGTGGATCAACTCTGAGGGTTTTAGTGAACTCTAAAACCAGAGCCTTGCCATGACTTGGATCCGGGCGAGCGAAGCGAGAAAACTTGCTTTTGAAAGTAAATTAGTATCATAATGTGGCGCAGACAAAGCATATGAAGGGCGAGTCATGAGAATCACCTATACATTCATTCTATCTGAACACTTAGAGTATTTAGGGACCCGCCCGCCTGCAGTGTGTCCTACTTTGTCCATTTTAATGCTTGCCATCCTGTAAGCTATATTAGTTTGCTTTTAGAATTTTTTTTAGTTTAAAAATCCTTGGGAGTCTCAAATTGCAGCAAATGGATGTATGCCTTGGTGGCAGACCATGCCCATAGCTTTCTTTAAAGTGTAAAGTATATGTAGTTTCAATTTCTTAGTAGTTTTGCAGTTTTATTTTGTGTGCTTTTAAAAATGTTGCTCTAAGAGTAGTTTTAAAATTTCAAAGGGTTAGATTGTATTGTTATGTAGGTGTGAGACAATTATCTAATTAAAAAGGTCTGTTTTTGATGTAGCTACAGTTGTCAAAGCCACATGAAAATTGTGAATTAGTTGCCCTGCATATAACTTGTATACGTGTTGGGTGGAATTGTGCACTAAATTGTTGCAATAATTACTTGGAAATGATGCCATTCCCTAAGCTATCCTCTGGTATGGCTGGGGTTGCTGTCTGGAGCTGCGTGTGGCAGTCTATTCCATCGGCAGCATCAAAGAGAATCTCTGCCCCACAAGGTGTGCGGAGGCTGGGCATATTCCATAAACCTTTGGGAGCCCATTGGGCAGTGAACTTAGGACAAACCATGCCCTGTACATTTCTTTTCAATGAAACTGTTAGACCAAACTTGTGGTTTGTGGCAAAGGGGTTTCTTTCAGTTGCAATGTAATGTCCTGTAGTTTCGTGACATGTTACAAAAATTTATAACATGTCCATATGAGCACTTCAGTGTGTTAATACATTTGAAGTTTCGCAAAATGGACTATATAAATTAACATCGATATCCCCCAATTTTTCTGACAGATATTGGTGTTTACAGTAGCAGAGAACAGAACATTAAAAACTTCTACACTATTCATTAGAATAGAAATATAAAGTTTGTGCACGTCTTATGGATGTTACCCTCTAGTTATATAGTAAACAAAAATTTAATGTATAAATCATTGATGGTATATATTGTATTAATTGGATGAAAATATCGGCTTGCAGGTGAAATTTGAAACAATTCTAAGGTGTTTAATTTTTTTCTTGCTGTCCCTGCCTGGAAAATTATCTCTGGATACCTCAGAGAATGGAGGATGAAAAGCAAATTAGATGTTTGAAAGAAAAATCAAAATTTGAAGGATCATTATAGCATATTTAACAGAACATTCTAGAACCACTATTGTTGCCATTCTTCATAATGCTTTATTGGTGGAAAGTTTATAAAGAATTATTAGTGCAAAGTCGTATCAAACTTCAACCACTGAGATTTAGGCAGCAGTTTTGAGTTGAATTATTAATGGAATATTAAATGCATTTAAATTTCAAAATTATGATAGTAGTCATTGAATTAAAAAGTATTGCACCTTTTATTTTAATTACCCTTTCATTGTTTTTTGGTCACTATGCCACTTTCAATGTTTCTTAACACCATTGAAGCTGGCAAGCTAAAATCAGTGCACTGGACTAGCTCACCAGTTTGTCTGTTTACACTAGGATTGAGAGGTTCAGTTGAGTAATAGTTGGCAAATTGAATGGAAATTTAAGAATAATTTTTGTTTCAGGTTGCTGTAAGTTATGTGCTGCTCCTCTCCTCTAAATGCGTGAAGTGAAGTTGGAGGCACATTTCAGGTGAGAATTAATTACCAACATAGTCTCCAAATTTTCTGTAGAGCTGTGTATAGTTCTTGTTTTGGGGAATCCCCACCACTAGATCACTAATGGTTCTCAAGATCTCTTGCAGTATGGTGTGTGGGAAGTACGACAGGTGTTTAATAGTGTGCTATTTTCAATTAATGAAAAACAATTTATATTTTGTACAATGAATAATAAATCCTTTACAGTAATGTATGAAAATAGATGATGGTACTGCTCCTTAATGTTAAAGAACTTCAGTAATGATCAGATCCTACATTCTAAATAAACTTAAAATCAAAGTATAACACAGAACCAAATAAGTAGCAACACTGCTGAATCCCTTGTTTTGATTGTTTGAAGCAAGGATCCAATTAAGTAGGAAGGGATATTTGAATGGGAGTCCTGGATTAGTGCAGAAGGGAGTGAGATTTGACATGTTGGCACTTGTGTTGCACCTAGCAGACCATGTCACATCAACATGCACGTTAGCTAGCTTGGTATGGTTAGAGATGGTTCAGAGAATCTGTTATTTTTCATTTCTATATTCATTGTCTTCTTAATGGTTGCTAAACCAAGCTTAAAATTTGTGATGATCATTATTCTTCAGTTTATGGTTAGAAACTGAATTTAATTGAAGAGTTTGGCATTCTGATACATAGGAAGCAAATTTAAAAACCCTCTTAATTCTTGGCTGAAGAACTAATGTTAAAAAAAAAATTTCAGCTTAAACAATCCAGCAGGAAGCCCTTGCTAAACTAAGCCATGATCTCTGCTGGTTGAGAAGTTACCATGGAAAGTGTGCCGTCAACATAAAAATTATGGTAAGTTACTTAATGGTTATTCAAATTAGAAAGGCCTCTCTGAAATTGCATTAATATAATTATAGCTAAGAATTGATAATTTACTCCCCTTGATCCATTTTTACCAAAAGAATTTGTTTTCCTTCTGATATTGCTAAGTTCTTAGTAAGTGGTTTTAAATCAGCTGATATTTTCATATGCTATGGTTTGAATGTCAAATGGTTGTAAAAATATTTTGAAAAGTCTCTTCATTCAGCTAAATTGACTTGTTTATTTCAGAAAGAAAATGCATTTTATATATATGTTTATATATAATTTTTTTTTTTAGTCTCAAAATGATTGAGATTGTTTTATAAGGACATAACATGATGATAATCAACTTCAACCAGACTAGAGTTTCTGAGATTCCTGTGATTATATATTTATCTGATGTACCTTTTAAGTATTGTAGTTTCTGTAAAAAGATAAACTTCAGAACTGAAGTTGAAATAATTTTTCCAGAAAAACCATCAGTGTTGCTTCGTGTGAAGTTAGCCATTGAATAAATGTCAAATATTTGGGAATGGTGGAATCTATGAAGACATGAAAATAATGGTAAGTTCTTCAATGACTTGTTCAAATTAAAGCTCTTCCAAGTTGCATTAATATAATTATAGTAAAGAATGAATTCTCTGATACGCGGGAGACACTGTGTTATTGACTGGGGGCAGACGTTTCGCCTGACATCTCACAGACTTCCTCAGGGCAGTGAGGTCAGAGTGTCACTGCCCTGAGGAAGCCTGCTACACGAGGTGATACGTTGGCACCCAACGACGCGGCATCTCCCGGATAGCCGAGAATTCATGGATTTGAGCCAAGGAAGCTTACGAATATATAAGTAAAGATTTTATTGTTTACTCTTCAAATGATGCTTTTTGCCAAAAGGATTCTTAATATTCTTGAAGAATTTTTTCTTTTCTGATATTAATTTTTAAAAAAAATTAGTTATTGGAAATGTGCTGTGGTTTTAAGTCAGTGGATGTTTTCAGATGCTTGGTGTTCTGCAGAATGGTGTTTTGAAAGGAATTAAATTTAGTGAGTATAGTTCAGTTTTTTGGTTATGGAACATAAGTTTTTATGGGTTTCTCAAAATAGCACTCTTGTCCTAATAGTTAAATGAGCATACTACTTGCTTATAGCAATATTGTTTAGAACTTGTGTATAAATAAATTTTGAATAAAGTGTAGAATTGTCTTGGGAGAGGAAAGTTTTATGCATAACTGATCAAATACTGTACACAAAATAATTTTGTTAAAATTACAAATGAAATTTTCAAATTCTTTAATTATTCAGTGTATACAGATTTTTCTTCTTTTTCAAAACTCGCCTCTGGTAGGTATGAGCCGTTTGTTTCATCCAATCTAGCTTAAACATCACTAGCAATAGTGGTGTGGAGGACACTGCAGTGGAATATAGTGTATGAATATGGCGTCCTTGAGAGACTAGTTGGCCTGTATTGTAAAATAGGAAATTAAATCTGATTGCAGGCACTGAATTAGAATTTCCAAATTTGATTTGCAATAATTACTTTCAAATGATGCCATTCCCCAAGCTATCCTCTGGTACAGCTGGGGTTGCTGTCTGGAGCTGCGTGTGGCAGTCTATTCCATCAGCAGCATCAAAGAGAATCTCTGCCCCACAAGGTGTGCGGAGGCTGGGCATATTCCATAAACCTTTGGGAGCCCATTGGGCAGTGAACTTAGGACAAACCATGCCCTGCACATTGTTTGAACTTCTCTTAAACTAAAATTATTTTTTATTCTCAATTAGAATTTTTCAATGGGGGGAGGGGAATTGCAAGAGTCTTTTGGTATAAATCATTTGTGGTGTATGTATATGCCCCATTTGTTCATGAAGACAAACTTTTTTGTTGCAGGTGGTATATCGGTTTCAACCAGCTTGGTGATAATTTGGTGAGTAATTTTTTAATGTTTAAATGTTCTTTCTGATTAGATGCAATGATGATCAATCTAGTCTGCTGAATTATTTTGAGGACAATTTTAAGCATTCCTCGTTGCTGATAGACCAGTTATATTAGTTGTTATTTTGCCCAGTGATGTTCAAATGATAAATATTTATTTTTTGTTTCAGGATGGTATCATTGGACAGTGAAGGTTGTCTACCGAAGTAAATTATACACCTGTATTACACACACAATTGTGAAGTACTTGTGTTGGCAGTTATGCCTCTGTTAATTTATTAGAAATAAAGTAAAACGTTGCTGCAAAACTTCAAAATTGCAATTGTTTTTATTTCCTTTATCTTTACCTGCCATGAAATTGTTAAAATGAGTTGAGCTGCTTTAGTTAAACATTTGAAAAAATATAGTCCAACACAATAAAACACAGTTGGATTAATTAAAAACTACTACTCTAAACAGCTGTTGTAAGAATTCCAGTAATTCTACATGTAAAAGCATAACAAATTAGTTTAATTTTCTTAACTGCATTGTTTTACAGATAGAGGAAAAACTTTGGGCATTGGCATATGAATTCAATCATTCCAGCTAAATGTAGACCTAGACTTTTTATGCATAATCAAATATAAGGGTTCTCATAGGTTTTAATATTTCTTTTACATTTAATTTGCATTAGCTTTGGGTGCAGACGTGTACCTTCTTTGATGTCAAGTGCTGAAGATTAATTACATGTTTGGGAGATGGATTTTAATTTCTCACCTTACGAATTCTTTGTACGAAGAGTTATGTAATCTTGTGCCAGAAAACTTAAAATTTCACCAGCAAAAACCTTATTGCTGGATTATTGTAACAACTGGTTAAATCCTATTAAATTAAGAAAAATTCTGTAGCATGTAGCCAGAATCTGTTTTGTTGGTTTTTAATGCTGGGATGTTGGTTGATTGATTGCATACATCCATCTGTGGTCAACACTAGCACCTAAACTGTTTAGGTGGTTTTCTTTAATATTGATATTCCCCAATTGATTGGAATACTCTTGGATTTGATAGTTCCAAAGGGATATTTTGATTTTGGATGGTACTTTACATCAAGCCTTTTAGATTAATAGTGAGAAGGAAGTTTAAGAAAATGGCACAGATTTTAGTATCTTTTAACATTTTTAAATGACAAGAATTGAACAAAAATATTTGCTTCAAAGTAAGTTATACAAAATTAGCTTTTTATAAAAGGTAAAAGTACGGGGGTCAAAAGGTCGTGTGTACCATACTTTGGAATAGATTTTGCATAATTTACAACAAAAATTTTGTTCTTGGAAACCTCCAAATTTGTACATTTTCTCATCATATTTAATAAGGGATGGTAAAAACTATGGTGCTTTTGTCCTTTTAGGTTAGAGCTTCATTCTATCAAAGGAACAGACACATTTCAAAACTACAAAATTAAAGATAGTGAAAAGTACATGTACATTGTTTTGAAACAATGAGCTGATTGTGTAATCAAGTTTCTGAAAGTAATGCTATATCTGAAAATGTAAACAAAATATTTTCAATTATAGCTTCTCCTTGTATGTAACAGCGTATGATAAATAAAACTGGTGGTACTGTAGAATGGCACAGACTTTCCTGTATTTGTTTTCTGTGGTCTCGGCAGGCTATTTGAAAGCCACATGCCCTTGCCAGACAAATTCTATCACTACCCAAAGTACATTTTTTGACATTTTCTTAAATTTTTGCTAGAAAGGAAATATTTTGCGATGAGTAAAACCTTGCCCTAAATGATAATCTCCCTTGAAAAATTTGGAGCGTTTTTTTAATAAAATGGTGTTTAACACATTGAGTGCCAAGGCTATATAGATAGGTTTACCACATACTAAGCCAAATAATAAAGAATTATTTATTATCTAATGATATGATGTATGACATGTCAATATTTTGAGGACAGACACATGGCATTTAGATGGAACTCGTTACCTGTGGATGCCATGACACCCACTGCCTCAGCTGTTACATTAGAACAATCCTCCAAATCCAAATGTGTTATTACAACGAAAAGGGAATTGATAAAAGAATGTAAAAAGTGAACGTGATTACAAGAGATTAATTAGAGACTAGAAGTGTGGAATATAAAAATTAATTTTTTAACATATTTATTAGTGGGTTTGTAAATAACATTTTGAGCAAAGCCATTACAGGCCTGACAAAGTGAAATGACTTTCTTGACTCTAGAGAGCTTCTATTCTTTTATTAAATTTTAATCATCTTCAGAAAATACTCCTGGCACCCTTTTTGTACTTTTCTGTTTTTTGGTCATTCTCTTCTGTAATTGCCAGGCAGTGACTTCCTGACAGTGCGAGATTTTGTTGAACTTTGCTGACTTCTAGATTCTTGTGATAATTTTTGATCAATTGAAGCTGCGAGTAAATGCTATATAATGAAGCATTTGCATTTTCTGCATCATCTGCATTTTCTTTTCTGTTAACTTTCTAAATAATATTGCTGCATTTACCACTAGCAAGTTGAAAAGAAATTCGAAGAAGTGTGGGATATCATGGAATGTTTTTGTTTTTTTGCGGGTGAAAAGTAAAGTAGGGGTAAAAGTAAAATAGCTGTTTGGTCAGAAATGTCTATTCCTTGCTTCCCTTATAGTCAACAATCAGTGCAGGTTTCTTTTTCAGTCCCAGTTCGGTCTTTTTATCAGTTGTAACCATACCTAAAACATGTTTTGTTGACGAAAAAACACCCCCCCGCCCACACACACACACACTCACACACTTTGCTTTTGTACTGGGCATTAAACGAATATAATGCATTAGTTACAATATATCTTACATTATAATGAAAAACATACAAAATATAATATAGAGCTTTACTCAACATCATTCGTATGTTTCCACTTTCTCATTTTTCAAAAATTGTGAACGCGCATATTTGGTCTGTAACACACTGTATGTTCACAGTAGAACTATCGGATCACAGAAAATTAATCATTCGGGGACTTTCTTGAATCCGTTCGTTTCGCAGTATTGGCAAATATCTTGTTTTGAAAACTCATTAAAGAAAATAGTTTTACATGGACAACGGCTTAAAGTTTTCTGTTTGCTGACTACGTTTCCATAGATTACAAGTTATCCTGGAAAAAACAAAATTTTTATCGCATCGCGGACCAACAAAACGTTGTTTCGTGAGAAGTAACTGGTTTTCGGTATTCGAAATATTCAGAATGCTAGGGAATTTGTAATGGAAATAATTTATTTAATCACAATATACGTATATTCTTTGCAATTCCAAACTATCAGGTACAATACAATTAAATATGCTTTCATACTATTACAAGTTAGGCAATGGCTGGTATGGATGATGCGAATAGTTATAATTTAGTTCTCATTTTGTACGCTTTTTTTGCTAATATACACAAAATTGCACATAAAATATCACCCGTAAGTTGTTGTTCGTCGTTTCTCTCTAAACATTTCCAATTAGTTCCGAAAATTATGTCTCAAAATCTACAACTACATTTGATTGTCCCCCGGATTTGCTTTCATATTTTTGTACTCTAATTTTTTATGATTAAAACTCCACAAGTCAGTCTAATTTGCACACACGCACACACACAGATTCGCTTTTATAATAAAACAAAAGTGAAATTAGTCTAAAAATAACAAAATATTCAATGGAGAAAGAAAATTCCCTTTTTTCTCAGTATATTATCTCATTATATATCTGTGTGTGTGCGCGTGGGCGTGTGTGTGTGTGTGTGTGCGGGCGCTTATGCAATCCTCTTGCCAGCCGCATTTTGAAGTCTGGGGTCACGGAGACTGCAGAAATATGCTGGGAATTGCTTGGCAACGTATCATAAACTTTCAATGCGCCACATATGCGTATTGCTTAGCTCCTCGGCACGATCGCTATGAACGATCCTCTGAATTTCAAACAATGCGAGCTCGTCGCGTCTGATGTGAAAAAAAAAGTTGGATTCTGGGAAATCTGACAAAGGGAACAATTTTTTCCATCCCCCCCCAAAAAATTTGTCCCAACATTGGAGGGGCAATTGCCCCCCCCCCCCGAATCACGCTTTTGTGTGTGTACACTGCTCACACTGTTTTATATTATTTTAATTCAAGTACACAAATCCCGAATTAAGGCCAGTAGTAGCTGATGCGTTCAGTCAAAAGTAGTATTTTGTTTTTTAACTGAATTCAGGCATTACCTGAACACTTGAGTTTCGTCTCACTTTAGTGCTAGTGCTAAAAATTGAACGTTTAGCCATGGAGGAATAAGGAATTCCTCCATGCTTTTAGCACGTTTTAGCACGGCATGACCTGAAACAATCGCTTTTTCTATCCGCGATCTTTTTCTAGGCAAAATGTACTTGCCGACTGGACTACATGTAGCCTTGAATACGACGTAATGGCAAACGACGGCAGATTAGCGTTGGGATATTACTTTTCAAATATTATTTAAATTGTTTTTGCAATGAAACCTCTTAATGAGAGCAAGTGCAAACTGACCTGGGAACTACTGGCTTTCATTGAAAGTAAAAATCACGAAATTTAATTGAGATATAAGCTCAAATTTTTTTCTAAACGAAAACTCTCCATGATTTAATTGGTGCATTTTTTGATACCAGCTCATTTTTGTGGTTTATTAGAACACTATGATTATTCCAACTTGTGTGTTTTCTTCCATTGTATATTACGTTATGTTATATTACGTGTATATTACGTCATGTTACGAACGAAATTTGCAAATTCATTGATTCAAGGTGAGACTGAGAAGCCGGAGGCCGGCTGCCGGGCGCTGGTTGCGAGCAGTTGCGAATGCGAGATGTTGGGAACTCGGGAGCTATAGGCAGAAACGGGAGAAACTTGAAATTCCGCTTGTATCATAGAACATGCCTGGCAGTGGCAAGTGCTTTGAATCGAAGAGCCAGAGCAGAATCTGAGTGTCGTGCGAGGTATAGTGGATCTTCGGCGCAGCATGGTGTGTAAGTGCAATGTTAAATTATTTCTTATTCTCCGTGAATCCATGTGCTGAGGGAAAGTCTGGAAAACAGGTACTCCATTATTTTACACGTGTGTTAGATGTCACTAGCATTTTGTGCGTTATTTTTCAACTTTTGTAGCTGCGACAGTATAGTTTAGAATTCTTAAAAAATACTTTTAAATGTGCTAAATGATTATAATATAATCTAGTAAGTTGAAGACAATCTTCCACGAAACCTAGTAATTAACATGTAACTCGTTGTCATCGAATCTATTTCTTTTATGTTGTACTTCTGAATGAAAGAGGTTATGTATCATATTTCACAGTTTATTTTCATGGGTAAATGTCACAGACATTCGAGGCTTTTCAACACTGTGAAAATAAAGATTAATTATGTATTAAAAATATATATTATCAATTTTAATTAGGTAACGAATCATGCTGGAGGAGAACAGTCAGGTTATTTAGCAGTTTTTGGTAATAATTTTTGTGTTGAAATTAGGTGTAATGCATAAAGAAAATGAATCAACCAGTATTTGTTTTTTTTTTTAAAATAGGTGAAAGGGAGTGAATATGTGAAAGATCAAATTTGATTTCCAGCAACTTCTGGTATCCATTTGATGAATAATGTCATCAGTTTGTTGAAGTAGAGGTTTGTTAAAGGAATGCCAAATTTAACTCTTTCTTTGAATACAATGTCATGTCATGGTTGTACATAAGTTTGTGAAAATCCCTACAAAGTAGTTTTTACATAACACTAATCTAATTTTGATTTGTTATGACAAGGTTGTGTGCATTCTGAAAAGAGATAGTAACTAGAAACTGTTATATTTTATTGTGCCTGTTCATCAAGAATATCAGATTTAGGTTGATTTCACAAGATTTAGGTTGTGAAACAATGTCATTTTTTAATGTGGGGCAAACTGCTTTTCAAATTTGTATTGAAATATTAGAATGGTTATTAAATGATGATAGTAGTTCCTTTTAAATAATTATCGATTTTTTAAATGAAAAATGTATAAGAGGTTATAATGAGTTAGTTTGTGTTATTGAGTTAAGTTACAATATAGTACTAAACTACAATAATACTAAACTTCATTTGTGATAAGTATGAATAAGTTTGAGTTTAAGAAACTTTTGCATGTTGTCTCATTAAAACTATAAAGAATTCAGTTCTGTTTCTTTTTTTTTTTTTTTTTGACTTCAATTGATGGTGTATATTAGTGACCTTTCTTCATGTGACACTATTCATTTTTCAGAGAAGATAATCGGGAATAAATTAAACATTTTTGTTACAGGCATTGGAGTGTTGATTTATGTCAGTGCCTGCTGAAATTCTTTGAAGATGAGCAACAAAGACGCTCAAGAAGAAGAGTTGTGTGCCTTGAAATCAATCTTTGATGATGAATTTGTTGTTTGTGATTCTGCGGACAGGGTTGAGGGCAAATACTATGCACACGTTGATGTACCAAGTAAATTTAAAATCAAATGGCAAGATGTGAACGATACAAGGGAGATAAAGGTGCAATTTCTTCCACCAGTTGTTTTGTCTTTTGAATTGCCTGAAGATTATCCTTCAGAGTCACCCCCTACTTTCAGTTTGGCCTGTGAGTGGCTGAGTAGCAATGAAATTGCTAATTTGTGTGCTAGGCTATCAGAGTTGTGGCAAGAAGACAAAGATGTGATTCTTTACATTTGGGCATCTTTCTTGAAAGATGAGTTGTTGAATTTTTTGAATATAACTGACGAGCTAGATGTTACTGCTTTGCTTATTCAGTCTGTGAGTGGAGGGGATCATTCTGGCCTGACTTCGAGCATGTCAGTAGGACCTTCTACTGAGAAACAGATTTCAGATGTTGAGAAATCAGTTTGCCTCGAAAAACCACACGATATCCCTGGAAACTGTAAAGAAACATCAGTGGAGTTGAAAAGGTCTGTTGACCTTTCAAAAGCACCACTTCTTCAAACTATTCAGGAATACAACAAGCAGAAACTTCAGGAAGCTTTTAATAGAGATACCTTTACATGCAATGTGTGTTTCCTTCCTGTAATTGGATCTAAATGCATTCAGTTTCAACCTTGCCAGCATGTGTTTTGCAAATTGTGTGTAAAGGAATACATTGAAGTTGTTATTAAAGAAGGAAGGGTACAAAACATGACTTGTCCAGAAACAGATTGCAAATCTCCTGTTCTCCAGTCGCATGTGAAAGATTTAGTGAGCAGTGAACTCTTTGCTTCTTATGACCAATTACTGCTAACTGTTTCACTAACTTCTATGTCAGATGTCACCTACTGTCCATTTGCTTCATGTGAAACACCAGTGTTATTTGATCCAGAAGACAAGATGGCTTCCTGCCCAGCTTGCCATTATGTATTCTGTATTTATTGCAAAATGGGGTATCATGGTGTGGAACCCTGTCGCATCAAAACTAAAGATAAAGCAAAATTGGTTAAGGAGTACTTATCTGCGACAGGAAGTCACAAGAGAGATTTGGAAAAGAGATATGGCAAGAGGCCTTTGCAGGTTCTGGTGAACAATGTCATGTCACAACAGTGGATTGATGCCAACAGTAAACCATGTCCAAATTGCAATGCAAATATTGAGAAATTTGATGGGTGTAATAAAATGCAATGCTGGAGGTGCACAAGCAATTTTTGTTGGTTGTGTACCAAAATGATCACAGATGCTGATCCTTACAACCATTTTAATTCTGTTAACTCAAAGTGTAATGGTTTACTCTTTCATGGGTTGCCAACAGAAGCTTATGAGTTTAATGAAGAGCAATTTGAAGAAAACGTTGAAGTATTTTCTGATGAAGACAGTGATGATGACTACATATACTTTCAAGTGATGTAACACAACTGTTAAAATCAAGCCTCATTCACTCACTTTCTCACTCATTCTCATTTTTTTTTGTTTTTTTGTAAATAATATTTTTATATATCTTTACTCCTGTTTTTTAATTATTCCAGTCAAAAATGTACAGCGATTCTTTTAATTTCATGCTACTTTCAATAAGAAATATATTCAGCTCAGAATTGAGGCCGCAGCGAAACAAAAAATTTAGAAGCTTTTGTATTGAATAAATGTTTTTGTGCTCTCTTGCTCTTTTTTAGTCATATGGCAGTAAGTCTTTTTAATGATGTTTCTTAGAGATAAAACTGTATAATTGAAGTGGGTGCTAATGCTTTGTATTTTGAATTAGCTACAGGTTTTAGTTTGATACAAATAATTGTGATGTCATTAAAGGAACTGCATATTGTGGCATATAACATCTAATCATGATGCAGGATGCCATTTGGAAATGGTAAAACAATATTTCTGGTTGATCTTTTTTAAATCCTTCCCTTGAGGTATGTTATTTTTTTTTGTGAGCTTAAAAGTTTACTTTTGAGGTTATTTAGAAAAATGTAGGATTTGACAGGAACAGTGTTCTAAGGAATGTGCAAGACATTTAAATTATCTTAATCAAAATGCCTTTGTTTTTTGAAGTATCGTGTATTCTTTTTTAGTTTATACATAATAGTTTCTATTTATTTGTTTTGTAAAAACAGTTGAGTTGACAAGAATACTCACTAGTTCTGGGATTTATGAATTCTTGTGTTCATTCCTTTTTTTTTGTTGCATTTTTGCATCCTCTGTATTCATTCAAAATAATAAAGAAGTTGTTCTCTTTATGATCAGGATAAGAGGCTCTTGCCATTATTGCTGAATAATGTGTGAGAGGTGAATATTACTCATACAAAATGTAAGAATAATAAAGTTCTATATTTTGTTGTTAAAAGTGGTTCGTACTCTTTTCCTTATGTAGAGATTGACTTTTCTTCCCACTAGTTTCAACAGATTTCATGCTGTCCATTAATGCCTTCAAATACTTGCAATTCTCTGCAACTATGTAATACTTTGACATGTCTTTGTTCCTTAATGATCAGAGTTTTTCTTTGAAGTGTGGAAATCGTCAGATTAAGATGAACATTAATATTAAATTTGCATTAATTATAATTTCATTTGGTTTTATCCAGAGATGTGCACAGCATATAGCAAGAGGAGGGACAGCTCTTTCTGGGCCTCCTTTTCCATTGAACTTTTTATTTACATACGACATATTTTATAATTAAAGGAATAAAATGTACTGCAAAGAGAATTATAGCACTAAGAATACAATTTATAAAAAAAGACAATGATTTTATGTTAAACCACTTACACAGTTGCCAGATGGCTTGGAAAACGTCTTCCGTAATTGTCGTGTAACAATTTGCAAAATTGTCAGGTTAAGAAAGAAAGGAGAAAATTGGCGATTGCACATACAGAAGGAAATAAAATGTTCAATTACATAAGGAAATAGGGCTACTTTCAAAATGTTCAGGGGGAGCATATCCATACTAGCCCATTGTGCACACTTATGATATTTTTGATTTTTCCCTTTGCAGTTTCTGCATGTAGTTCGATATATTTTTTTGTAGTTTCCACTTCTAATTTGCTTATGTCGGGAGTCCAAGTTTAAATGAAGTTGTTATTCTTCAAGAAAAAAATACGATCACGCATTTGTGATGGGCAGGAAGAGGGAGTTGTGGGAAATCTAAAAATGTTGACCTTTTTTTTTTTGTTTCTAGTTTTATTTAAATATTGAAGGTATTCTTTACATTTTGATATTGATAATGGGGTAATTTTTGAAACAACACACTTTTGAATATTGTTATTTAAATGTCTGCATCTGTTAAAATGGCTGCTGTGTTTGACAGTCTTCTCAAGTCTAGCCTAACTTTGAAACTAATTCATCTAGAAGCTGTGATTCTGTTCATATTTGTCAAAAAGTTTCATTTCATAGAAACTTGCATGTGCTGGTAAATGCTGGATTTTAATGTATGCATGGTTTTACACACTTTGATGAATAGTTTGTTGTGTATCTTGGTCGGTATTGTAAATTTGTATAAATTTAAAGCTTGTTTGGGAAAAACTGAATTTTTTTTGGTGAAAAAGATTTTGTAAATTTCTACTCAATCATTCTGAAATGAACACAGTAATATTGCAATACGAACAGAAAAAGTACTGTTTTGGGGATATATTTGTTATTCAATAGTTATTAACACAGTTATTATAAATCTGCTACAATGTACACAAAAGATACTGGTTTTTTACTTTAAGTACTTTTTTTACATTATTTCTAACTTTTGGGAACTTTGAAAAATGGAGAACTGTGCTAATTTTTTAAGTGTTCATTTCTCTATCCAAGGGAGAAAAAAGTTATTTCATTGTTACACTTTTTTTAATGTCCCATTATGTTTTTCAGTTGACCTCTAAAGATTAAGGCAAACTTATTTACTAATTGTTTTGTGTCATCTTCTCAAAATGCATTCATTATTTTTGTCTATTTTCTTCCATTTTTCTGTCCAGAATGTAATTTACTTGTGTTACTTCTGTACCTAACTTGCTATATCACGAAAAGATAATAATTTCTCTAAATTTAAGTAAAATCTTGTAATGTTCAATCCGATATTTTTGTTATTAATTTTAATACATTCTTAACTTGAAATTAGTAAGTTTAATCATACATGCGGTGAGAGCATATTATTTTCTATCAACTCCTTCCTCCCTTGCTTTCACGCCTGTCTTCTATGTGAAAAACTCATCCAAATTATGTAAATATTTCCCATTGAATGACCTTTTTATCATGCACTATTGTAATAAACATTTTTTGAAACTAGTCCAGAAATAATGTAGTTAGAAATAATGTAAAAAAGCAGGCTAAATGGTCCGAGCCCCGCTATCAATAAAGTCATTCATTTATTGATTTATTTACTTGTAGCCTAGTTTTTTTAAATGTTATTTGCATTATTTTCAAAACTGCTTGTATAATATTGCTTTTTAGCTCTATTTTATTAGAGTATTCATTACAGTTACAGTCCTTAATTTTCTTACAGTTAGTTCTATATTTATGGTTGTGTTCATTAGAATTCCATTGTCTAAATAATCTGCCTTTTTTGAATGAACATGTGCAATACGTCTGTGAATTGTGAATTGTTCTTTCTGTTTTTTCAATTTATTTGTGTCCCTCTATTCTCAATTTCTGTATTTTTGTACATGGAAGAGAACATTTTCATAATATTGTTGTATTTATAATATTAGGTTTTATCTTGGTATAGTTATTCCAGTTGTTTTCTATTTGTTTTTAAATTTTATCTTCATTTTGTAAGTAGAAGACCATGTTTCGTATGTAGAAGATCATGTTTTCATATGTAGAAGAGCATGTTTTTATAATATTGTTTACAAAGATATTGGGATCTATATTAACACAATTTTTCCATCACAGTTTTTTGTTTCTTTTTTTAAAGTATTTTTATTGTTAAATTTTACTATATTTTCATTTCTTTTTTTTAAATATTTTGAGATTTAATGGTTAAATCACAACAACTGATTAGGGATCTGATAATTTATGTTGGCATCTCGTGAACTAATATCATTATTACACTTACGAATTGTGGTCTAAAAGCGTGCTGCTTACCTTATTGCCTCAATTTCTTGTTTTGCACTTTCGATTACACTTTCTAAGGCATTGCAGTACAATACTGCGTCGTATTCTTTCACTGCTTGGCTTTCTTCTTCCAGTAGGTTTATATTTATATCTCCCATGTACACAGTGTTATGATATCCTTTTCCCTCTCAAGACATGTAGATCTTTTATAAATTCAATTGGATTTAAATCTGGTGCTGTATGTACAAAAGTTAAAGAATTAAAGTTATTATTTCTTTTTGAACACTTTATACTTGAAAAAAATACTTCAAAACTGTTAAAAGTAATATGTATTTCCTAAAACCTATAGTTTTGTGATTACCTAAACCTTTCTGCAGATTTATTTTCTCCTTAATTTATTTACAAGTCCTCTTTCTCTTCTAGCATATTTAATGCTGATGCAGATTTGAAAAATGGAAACTCCCAAGAGCGTCATTCATTAAATGCTTTTCTTTTAATGGTCTTGCAATCAATTGAAGAGCACTTATGCTCCTTTCACAATTTTTGAGCCTTGCCTCTATGCTTGTGTGTTCATTGCACTTTAGTATTTTTTCACATCTGATGAAATTGACTCGATTCATTAATTTTTTTGATTCAGCCAATCCATACTACTTATTGATAGAGTCTAGGGCTCTATTTATGTCTTAAAATATGTTATATGCACAAGAGCATAAATGAGTTCTAATAATCGAATATCATGAAAATTCCCCTTAGCCAAAATTCCTCCCATGAAGTTCAATTGTTCTCATATTTCTCTTCCATGATCTCTATCCAGGTATGTAATGCATCATATATTGGACTCCTATCAGGTAAAAGACAAGTCAAGACCATCTGCAATATTCAGAGTATTGAGGATTGTCTTAAACAAGCATGGTCTTTTCATCATAATAATCGGTAATCTAAGAGTACAACTAGTGGTGCTACAGAATGGCACAAACTTTCTTGTATTAGTTTTCTAATTTGTTTGGTCTGGGCTAGCTATTAGGAATTGCTACATACTTGCTTCAGCTGCCATCTATTGCTGCTCAATTTTTTTTTTCTTTTGATATTTTCACATTTTTTCAGTTTTTGAATAATAGAATCGAAATATTATTTTATGATTATAGAAGAGAAAAGTCTTGTTCTATAAGGAAATTTTCGTTGAAAACCATGGGGTCGATTGTAAGAAAATGGTGTTTAAGCATTACTGTAAATGCGAAATTTGAAACTCTTTTTCAGAAAAATCTTTTGAGTTTCAAAACACTTTATTTGAAGTCATTTGAAGCACTTCCACGCACAAATGCAATAATGCATACAACTCGCTGCAAATGAAATTAAAGGCGCGAGAGGTATTAAAAAAAAAATTATATCCTTTTTGAAAAAATAAAAGCCATTTTGCGAGGTTCTTTTATGTCATCTTGAACAGTACAATGACACTATCCGAACGAAAAATTTGAAGAAAAATATTTGTAGCCAATATTTGAGGATTGGGCATTTGAGCGCCTTGAAAATATGGAATATCGAGCCTATTTTCACAGAAAAGTTTTCGAGAAAGTTTATAAGACCTCACTTGAAGCTCATGTTCTCATAAATGAAATAGTATGAATAAATCGCTTCTGTAATGTAAGAACATGATAGACAGATCAAAACAAATACTTTTTGAAAAAGAAGCAGGATGACGGTTGTTGTCGAGTACATGTAGCACTATTCTTACCCAAAGAAAAAATGGAGCCGTTTTTGAGAAACTGAGTTTTTTAAATGTCACTACGAAAACTACTAAAATTTTCAAAAAGTACATTACCTTAATTAAAGAATAATTGAGGAGAAAAAAATACTTTGAGGAAAAATGTCTATATTCAATTTTGTAATTATAGGAAATCGCTAAAAAATTCAAACATCTGCAATTTTCCAAAATTTGGAGTAAACAGTGAAAATCGGACCTAAGCCATTTTTGTAAGTGCAATTAATTCTGCTCTACTCGGAAACAAAAATTAAAGAAAATTGGAGTCAATTTTGAGTTTTGAAAATGTCTTAGGGGCTTCATGTAAAGTACCCCCAAACTTTACTGAATATTTTTAAAAATCTGAGCTTCCAGTGAGGCTAGATCGACAGGGATTTATTCAGTTTTGCAAAGATTCTACTCATAGTTCATGCGCTAGTGTTTTACATACCAGGCGCACGGATATTTTGAAAGCCACTTTTTCGGTATCAAAGACTCACTATTAACTCTGACATGTTAGAAGGAATAATTTACGAAATATTAAAACATGATTTAACCATTTTACACCAATCTCATCGTTCTGCAGTATATACACCAAACTTACACTTGATTTTTTAAAAAATTTAAAACTTGAAGATCATCATTTCCACTTGGGATACACTGGGAAGCACATCAATTATGCGCAAATCGCAAATATGATACTCGCAATTACTCAAATACTGTGTAGGATGATGATTTGAGCTGAAGATTTCTCATATCTAAATGCAACTTATGTTCCCCTAATAAAATTTTTAACAGTTATAGTATGTTTCAACGAAACATCTTTCCTGTGATTACATTCCTTTAATTTGAATGTGGTTGTCACAATTAATTAAACCTTTTTGCAATTGTATTTTTTTACGCTCTAAGAAATATTTTCAGTTTGTTGCAGTTATTGCTAATTGCAATAATACTTAAATGTGTGTAGTCCACTACCTGTCGGATAAAATTAACTCTATTCTCTTTCAAAAATTTCATGATACATTTTCCTGAATATTGCCTATTACAATTCACACAATAGCTTTGAACTATTGTATTTAATTTTAATTGTTTATGTATGACAGGCAATTTCTTATGTTAATGTTTTGAGTTCTGATAAAGTTGTACATGACTGACAGCAATGCTGCCTTGTTTCAAGGCTGCCAGATTAAGTCCTTGGATCAGTTATTTGGATTTGTTATTGAAGTACTTTAAGCAATTCAATAGTGTTTGTCAATCTAAAAAGGGTACCTGAGCGATGAACTCCGACACCGTGTGTCCGATCTGCATGCATTTTCATGGAGAAGGTTTTTATGTTCATTTTGTTGTTTCACTGCAATTCCTAACCAACTTTGGGCTTCATTTGTGCTTGGCGTTGCCAAAGAAGACTGAATGAGCGGTTATCGCGAGGGAAATGAGAAAGAAAGAGGAAATGAAAAAGAGGGATAGAGGGAAGAAAAGGGGGAAGGCAGAAAGAGAGTAAGGGGAAAAGGGAAAGGAAAGGAGGGAGGGATTGAGAAAGGAGAGAAAAGGGTATTTAAGAGGGAAAAGAGTGAGAGTGAGGAAGGAGTCAGCAGGGCAGTGACTGCTAAATTCTGATAGTTTATTGTATTCTTACTTGAGATTGAATTTATATAGCAATACATTGAAATTAAAACCCCCAAAAATAGTTTGTTATATCTCACAGCTCTCCCGCTACTAGAAGGGGAAACACTTCTATCCTCTTTGGAACTCTTTCAACCACAACTCTCGTGGTCTCTCTTTCAACCACATCATCGCGCCACACGACGTGGTAGATGTCACATTCCTGCGACAGCCACGAAGGGCCAGGATGTGTCTGGCGGGGCAGAGCTCCTAGTACACGGAAATTTCACCAAGTGGACTGGCGGCAGTCCATGTGAACGGGCAAACCAAAGAGATCCTTCTCTCTTAACCCATTGCAAGCCAACGCGTATAGTCTATTTTGTGTTTCATTTGTATTACATTCTGGGATTGACTTTTTTGTCTTTCATCCTTGTAAGAAACGACCGTCTCGTAGCTTTGTTAATATGAAAATGCATACATACAAATTACAAAAATTATGGTCTTTATTATGAGAATTAATTACACGCAATAGGAGTAATGTCGAAACAATGACAGTTGATCGAAGTTCCTTCTGAAGGCGAAGAGCCAGCTCCAGCGCAGCCAACCTCGGAGGCAGCGGCTCCTGCAACGTCAGTTCAAAAGCTCAGCCGCGGACATGCACTCGGACGTTCGCTGCGGGGGAGGGGCCACGCGACGGCCTTCAGAGTATTTAAGAGTTAATATCCTGCTTTTGTGACTGGCAGAGATTAGCATAAACGGATGAACGAATTTTTTGGTACTGATGCGTTCCAATGGCACCCATGTTTATTTGATCCAATATGACTTTCAGAAAAAGCGCGAATAGTGACTATATTTCAGCCGCCTTTACGTGAGACCGCGGATTACGAGAACTACGCCCACCTGCCAGCGCAGGCGCCTCGCCGGCGAGGGCTCAGAGCCGCTTGCCAGGTGTTTCTTCTCAGCGCCTGCACACACACACGCACACTATTCAGAAACATTTTTCATAATCTATTAATGGACCACATAATCTTTGTATTATTTTATAGATACACAAAGATAAACAAAAAGTAGGGGTCTAATTTTAGAAGGGATTTATACTATACACAAAATATTCAAACCTACCAATCTTAATTGTGAAGGTATTTTAATCATGTGATATACCATATGTCTGTACACCAATTTCAATTTAGAGAGCCTTTAGAAAGCAGATGAATCTTTACGAAATAGTAGAAATGCAATGATTTAAATTACATGCGAAGTTTTGAACTATAATGGACTGTGAACAGGATCCTTAGTGCGCTACATATAGTGATTTTAGTATTGCGTTGCCTTGTTAGTATATTTCCTCCTTAAATTGTGGTATAAAGAAGAATGTTTGGAACGTATTACACAATACGATCTCGAATTTTCAGAACGGAATTCCGAGTTGAAAATACTGATGATTTGTGATTTCGATTATACAGAAAAAACTCCACAGTCAATCGAATCAGGGCCTCCTATTAAAAATTGTGTAATGTTGGTTGCAACCATATCACTTGTAAACAAGAGAAGGCAATAATGCAGCAGCATTTGATGTTTGAGGAGAGTTTACAATACGGTTTCAAGCTGCAGTTCGAGCAATTACTCGCAAAACATTGAACGATGGATTGAAGAAATGCGGACAGAGTGGGGGTATTAGTTAAGTAATCTGGCACTAGCTTTTATGAAGCAATATTAATCTCTGAAGAATCAGTCTTGCCTTCGCAACTATCTCAATAATATGTGTTCTAACTTTCTCAGGAGTTAGAGGAACCTCCTGTGATGAATCTTCACCTGCTTTAGTAATTTCGTAAGATCTTTGGACAAAATCACGAACAGAAGATCTCGCTTTCAACGAAAAAGCAGTTCTTTCGAGGCAGTGAAGATGTGTTTGGCATATTGTCATCAGTGCACGTTGCGAGCTTTTGTC